CCTCCCCCCCCTCCGCTGCTGCTGGCCACGCCCCCCCCCTTACCCAGGGTGATCCCGTTGGGCCACTGAATGCCCGCCTTCACCAGGGCAAAGCTGTCCACTCCGTTCAGGCCACTCTTGGCAATCTTCGCAGACGACCCCCAGTCAGTCCAGTACATGAATCTGGCAGGCGAGGAAAAGAGGGAAAGGAAAGGAAAGGAAGGAGGGAAAAAATCAACACCCGTTCCTGTGACCACCCAAAACTGCTTCCCCCTCCCCCCCGCCCCCGGGAAGTGGGGACGGGAACTCTTCACCCGCGGGTGTGGGGAACTCTTCACCCGCGGGTGTGGGGAACTCTTCACCCGCGGGTGTGGGGAACTCTTCACCCGCGGGTGTGGGGAACTCTTCACCCGCGGGTGTGGGGAACTCTTCACCCGCGGGTGTGGGGAACTCTTCACCCGCGGGTGTGGGGAACTCTTCACCCGCGGGTGTGGGGAACTCTTCACCCGCGGGTGTGGGGAACTCTTCACCCGCGGGTGTGGGGAACTCTTCACCCGCGGGTGTGGGGAACTCTTCACCCGCGGGTGTGGGGAACTCTTCACCCGCGGGTGTGGGGAACTCTTCACCCGCGGGTGTGGGGAACTCTTCACCCGCGGGTGTGGGGAACTCTTCACCCGCACCCACCCGTGCGCCGGATCCACCACGATGGCCCGGGGCTTGGCCCCCTCCTCCTTGATCAGGGTCTTCCTTTTCTGGCCCTCGGTGCTGGCCACGGAGACGGTGCCCAGGTGGGAGTCGGTCCAGTACAGGAGGCCGTGCACCCAGTCGACCGCAATGCCGTCTGGATTCTGAAGGCCGCTGCCGATCACAGTGGAATGATGGGAGTCGTTGCCGGCCGTGTCGATCGGGGTGCTGGTGGGGGAAGACGGGCAGGCCGTGAGCCCCAATGGGAAGGAAGGAAGGAAGGGGGGCCGTGCCCCATATCCCTGCAGCAGAGAGCTCCGCTCCCCACCCACCCCTCACAGCACCGAGGGGCAGGAGTCGCTACTCCGGCAGAGGACCAGGAACCAGCCAGAGCGACTGGGCCAGGTTCCGCACAGCAGCCCGTTTGCAGAAAAGCCTCCTCCGTGGCCAGCTTGGGGGGGGGGTTCACCCCATCATCACGCACTTGAGACGGGGCCTTCCCACCCACCCCCCACCCCCAATTCCTACTGCACAAATGGAGACCCAGGTCAGCGAAGACCTGCAGGTCCCCTGGGCTCCCACCCTGCGGAGGAGGAGGAGGAGGGGTGGGTGTCAACCAGAGGCAGGACTTTCTCAGGGGTGGCCACCAGTGGAAGTGATGGCCCCTTGTGGCTTGCCTGGTACCTACACGGCTCTCTCTCTCTCTCTCTCTCTCTCTCTCTCGATGCTCCGTTTCACCCAGGCTTTTAACTAAAAAGGCTGATCTTCTAAGCACCTTTTTTTTTAAGCCTGAGAACTGTTTTGACTCTCCTTTTAAGGCACTCATTTGTTTTCTGCAGTTTTTATGCACTTGGCTGGGTTTTTAATTGTCAGATTTCATTGTACTTTTTATTATGCCTTATTCCTTAAGGTGCCTTCAGCAGGTACCCCGTAGAGGCAGCATAACCTTTTTTTCCAAACAAAGGTCAGTTGTTTGTAAAAAGCCACTTTGAATTCAGAGGCCCATTTACACTGCTTGAATTTACCCTCTTATTGTGGCTGTGCTATGGAATGGCACACGAGGACACATCTACCCCCCCCCCAAACACACACACACCCCTTTCCCACAAATGTGCTGAGTGGGGACATCCCCCATCACCTTCCTTCCCTGCATCATCAACTGACACACGGTTCCACCGGAGGCCCAAACCACAAACGTTCCCCACCCAGCTGCCCCCCCCCCCGGCCCGCCGCATCCTGGGCACGAAAGGGGTTTACTTGCCCCTTTGACACCCCACTGTCAACACTCGCGGCACAGACACCACAGCCCCCTTGCCTGTATATTCTCTTCTGAGAGAGGTCAGACCAGTAGACGACGTTTCTGGCAATCTCCATATCCAAGGCCACCGCGTGCTTGAGGTGGGGGATCAGGCTGGTGTACTCGCTGCGGTCCAGGGTCATCTTCCGGACTTCGTGGCGGTTGGTGAAGAAGAGGTATGCGATCGTGCCTGGAAAGGGGGCAGAACGAGGAGAGAGGGGCGTTGGGAACTCACGGCAGCAGCACCTGCCAACGCGTTCTCCCGGGCTACGGGGGAGACCAGCACACTTTGGGTCCGAATCCCCAGCACCAAAAGGTCCAATACGCCACCCCCCCCACACACTTGACCTTCCCACCGTTCAGGGCCAAGTGGGCTCCTTTTTCCTAGCCTTGCATCAGACAAAATTTCTCCTCACCCCTACGTGATGCCCCCATTTACAGGCACTGACTTGAGAAGACAGAGACAGGGAGGCCGCCCAAGGGCTCCCCCCAGGCGGAAGGGCAGCGAGGGCCAGAAGGCGGGCTGGAGACACGGGCAGGCAGCCTGCGCCACACTCTGTGGGGAGGAGGACTGCGCACAGGAAGGGAGTGAAAAGGTGGAGCGCTGGGGGGGGGGGCACCAACGGATCCTCAGATGCCTGAGATCACAGAAGAGGCACCAGGCTGCAAAGCCCAGGCGGCTCAAGAGGACCCTCAACTGCACCCTTCAGGCCCCCTGCCCCCCCCCACGCACACACACACAATGTACACACTAGCCACTACCGCCTGCACCCGAGAGCTTTTATGTACTCGGGATTACTTGTTACCAGGAACTGTGCTCAGAAGTTGCGCCTGAGACACACCAAGTTACGCCGTCCTCGGCTGTTTGGTATTATTGCTTTATCTGCACTGAATTCGAGATTCCAGACTTAGGGTTTTAACTCTTAATTTAGGATTTTAACCATCAAGAACAACTGAGCTAGAAAGACCAAAAGCTTGCAATATTTCATTTTTTAATTTACTGGCTTTGTATAGTTTGTGATACGTCTTGAGTCTTCTTGAAAAAGGCCGCATTTAAATGCTGTAAATTAAACACCTACTTATTACAGTCCTGTATTTATCAATGCACTCAAGGCAGCTTATGGTTTAAGAATAACACCCCGAGATCTAACAACACGCAGGAAATAGGGAGGAAAGGAAGGGACGCAAAGTCGAGTCTGACCACTTGGCATAAGGAAGGGGGGGGGGGGAATCACATCCCAAAAGGAAGCGGCAGAATATCTGTGTGGCCATCTGTGTGGCACAGAAGACAGGCCCACCAGCTCAGACTGACAGGAGGGACCATGCCTGGTGCAGCAGTGCTGAAAATAAATTCTATCCAGCCCAAACCAGAATCACAAGTTTTCTCAAGCAAACACCCGGTTTGTGTGAGGGGCCAAGGCTTTCTTGGGAAGAGGTCTTGCAACAGAGGCTGCACGCCAGCAGTCCTCTCTCGTCTCCAACAGCAAGCAGGGGAGAAATCAAGACCCTCGCCCACCTTCCCCATTGGCAGAGCAGCCACGGACCCCAAAGCCTGCCACAGCACACGGCAGCACAAAAAAAAAAACCCCGAACTTACCGACCGCTTTGCAAGTCTTGGTGGCGGGGTCGATCTGATAGCCTTTGTTACATTCACACTTGTAGCTTCCTTCCAGATTGATACAGATTTGGCTGCAGGAGTCGGGGCTCAGGCATTCATCAATATCTACAAACCCAAGATCATGCTACATTCACGCCTGTCGCTTCCTTCCGGATTTATACAGTTTTGGCTACAGGCATCAAGGCTGGGGCGATCGTGTTACTTTGCACCTGATTAAGTAGTTCTTGGGACAATTGAGGTTGTGGGAATGGACTCTCCCACAACTCTGTTTTGTTCCAAGGATTAACCGTGCAACTTGTCTGCAATCTAATTCTTCCCATGAGGACATCCAAGAGGAGACGGCAACGTCCCCATCTGGCTTTGCAGCAGATTTTGCCACCCAGGTTTTATACCAATGGCCGCCGCGCCCTCCCCCTCCCTCACGTAGCGTCCGCCCTCCCTCTCCTTTGAGAAGTCGGTCTCAGGAGGTGGGCCCTGGCAGGGAACCCACTCGGCATGGAGAAGCTCCCAGGCGGCAGCCAGCGCGGCCAGAGGCCTCCACCCGAGAGAGACCCCCCCAAAAAAACACTGCTGGCCTTGACAGACCGACAGGGGAATGTCACGTACACTCCCTCATCAACCCTGAACGTGTTGCTCTCCTATCTGGCTCAGAGACCACTCCAGCCACCGTTGCTTTCCAGAGGCTGCTTTATTTCAGAAATTCATAGGCTGCTGCCTCAGAAATTACTTGAGGCCGCTTACAAAGTACAAACAGAGGCCATGAAGTAATAACGGCAGGCCCCAGGGCAGGCCTTGTGGGGGAGAGCATTTTGGAAAATGGCGTTTTGGGTGTCGTCCCCACCCCACCCCTGCAGGGGGGGCCTGGGAGAGTAAGACCCTGGGCTGGGCAGGGTGGGAGGAGGCGGTCCCGTCAGGACCTGGGGGGGCCCCCAGCCCCAAAGGCACGGAAGGCCTCGGGGGCGAGCCGCCCTGTCCACTGCAGCTGCCTGAAGCGCCAGGGGAGACTGCCGAGAGGCACCACCTGGCCCACGGAGGAGACCCCGGGTCCCCAGGCACAGGACCCATCGGCACACACACAGAGACACACACACCCAGGCCAGGCTGACTGCTCAGCCCGCGAGCGGCTCCGCCACCGGCTGGCCGCCCCTCGGCCTTTTGCCCCGGGCTTCAGCCCACCTCGTTACATTCTTGCCGCAGGTACCAGACGCGGGAGCGACCCGTGAAACACTCGGTCAAAACGGACACGGGAGAAAGACCAGCCCCACAACCTACCTTCGCATCTCCTTTGATCCACGAGCTGGAAGCCCTCCGGACACAAACATTCGTACCCAATCTTCAGGTCATTGCAGATGTGAGAACAACCCCCCTTGTCGGCCAGGCACTCGTTGGTTCCTGCAAGGAGGCACAACAACACAGCACGGGCCGCTGAAGGGACCCCTCGTCACGGTCGACCGTGCTCGTGAACTACCCTAAGCCCCCCCCCACACACACACACGCCCTGACCTGACCTGACCTGGATGCAGCCCGGGCAAAACCCCCCCCCCCTTGATCCCATCAGACCTCAGAAGCTAGGCAGGGCCGACTCCGGCAAGTCCGTGGAAGGGCGGCCTCCGAGAGGCATTTTACCAGAGGCAGGACAACAACACGGAGGCTGGCTAATCAAGCCACCTTTCCAAAAAGTGGCCACCCCCCACCCCCATAGGGGTCACCAGAAGTCAACCGTGACTTCCAGGCAGGCACACAAAACACACACATGTGCAAGCACTTAAAAAAACAACAACCAAGAGGCCCCATCAGAATAATCTCTCACCCACCCTGCAACATTCCTAGGTCCTGCCCCACAAAATCACAGCTAACCGCACTGAACTGGCTGGCAGCGACCCCCCCCCCCAAGTGCAGGGAGCTTGCAAGGAACCTGCCCCCTGCCCAAGGGGCTTCACACCCCACGAGGCTTGGCAGGGGAGCCTGGTGTGTGTTGCGTGTGCAGAACAGGAATCAAGTGTGCCATGTTTTTAATTCCCCATCATGAGTTGTTCTGAGTCCCAGAAACAGCTGTCTCAGTGCAGGACAGATGTGTAGCTGGGCCGGACCAAACACACACACACACACACACACACCCGAGTCCAGGACCCTGGTTCCCACAGAGGCCAAACAGAAGTTAAAAAAAACAACACAACCACCCCCTCTCCTGTCTTCTTTGGGGGGTGGGGGATGGGGGGTGTCTCTTACACACAGGGGATTTGGGTCCTCCTGAAGTCCTGCACAGACTCCTCAGCTCTTATTTCTAAAAGGCCAAGTCTGTGCCGGGGCGTTATTTCCTCCTCCTTTCTGGAAAAACGTTCTTGGGGGGGGGGGGGGGAGAAAACCCTACAGTCCATGGCCACCCAACCCAGGGATTAGGGGCAGTGCTAGCCTACCTCACGGTGTTGTTGTAAAGGTTCCTCAGATAAATGCTTTTGTCTCCATCCTGCACTTCAATTACTGCTTATCCTTTCCCCACCCGATCAGAATCCCCCCACCACCACCAGCAGCAGGACTATTTTTCTAGAATTAGAGATTACTTGGGATCGTCAGAAGTAGCCGAGTTGTTCTTTCAAGGCAACCCTGCCTGGCAAACTCCTATGAGATTTCCCTTCTTGACGGGAAACTTCCCTAGGAAGTGCAAAGGCCGTGCTGGCTGGGGTGGGGGGGCGGTGGGGGGCTGGCTGAGGGCTCCCTTGAGTGCCATTAAGAGCCAGGGGCTCCCCCCCCCCTCAGAGTCGCCAGGAAGACAAATTCTTCATCCAAGCAACTTAAGGATTCACAGCTCAGGCTCTTCTTGGCCACTAGACTTCAGCCCTGCTTTCCATACCGGTGATTCTTCTGACGTGAAAGAACACAGAGCCTCTAACCCCCTCGCACCCAGGAGCTCACTGCAACTCCCCGGTTCCCATTCCGGCTATTCCCCCCCCCCCCGGGATGACTCACTCGGACTGAGGAAGGCCGCAGCATACAACCCGTCCCCCACCACTACCGCAGGCCCGCAGGGCACTGAGAGGCAGCGGAAGGCTCTAGCTAGCAGGCCCAGAACCCCCGAACCCCATGATGACGCTTCGCGTGAGCAAAGCGGCACACGAGCAGGAGGACAGGAGATTTGATCCTTACGGCACTCCTTGACGGGCTCGTCCGACCAGTCGCTGCAGTCCCTCTGCAAGTCGCAGACCTTGTCCATGGAGATGCACTCTCCCGAATGGCATTTGAACGAGCGGGCTCCTTCACAGGTGGTCACTGTGACAAGAAAGCAAGAGGAAGTCCTTCATTCAGCGTCACACTGTGGACCACTTTGCATTCCTGTGAATTCTGCTCAGGGCAGAGAAGGCTTTAATGTAAAACACATGTAACCCTAATCCTAGCGTACTAGGTATCAGACAATTCTTGTTGACGCATACTAAACATAAACTAGAAATAGAGCACAAGGAAAATTTAGATGCCCCAATCCATGAGGAGGAGATGAAAACCACAATAAAAACCCTCAAATGCAATAAAACACCTGGAAGACTCGGGTTTAAAGACCACTTAGCTAAACCTTTAGCAACTACACTCAATGAGATCATGCAAAAAAGTATAGTCCCACAAATATGGAAAGAAGCCAGCATAATTCTTCTGCCAAAAAAGGGCGGAGATACAACTTTATCAGCTTCTTACCATCCAATTCCCCCCTTCCAAATCGAGATGCAAAAATATTGACTGTGCTCTCAGAAGCCAGGATTAGCAAATCCATCCACCATCATACCAAGGAAGACCAAACTGGTCTCATCCCGAAATGTCAAACAGCTGATATTTAGACATACGTCGAACTCTTAATAGGTGGACAAGGGGGCAGTTCTTCTCTCTCTGGATGCAGAGAAAGCGTCTGATGAACAATTTCAGACCCAATTGTACCTCTACCATATCCCAGTTATAATGAATATTTCATAAACACTATGGGGAATTATCAGGTTTCCAAATAAACAATGCCAAATCAGAATTAATACCGCTGAAGGCAGCACAGAATACACCAGAGTATACTAAAACACAGTACCAATTTAAATGGAATCCCATATCCTGGAAATATTTAGGGACTAATATCTCCACAACTTTAAATATATTAGTTAGATAAACCAGGATACTCTTATTTAAAAAAACCCTAGTGGGGGGCCTGGGACGTTTTCCAGAGAGGTGCCTGGGGATTGCCTGCCTCTGCGTCCCAGCCCTGGTATTGCTTGGAGGTCCTCCCATCCCAGTGCTTGCCAGGGCCAGCAACATGCCTCGACTGTGCTCGTAGGTTTTAACTTACTGCTGTTGACTTTATTTTGTTATTATAATAAGGAAAACTTAAAAGAATTCTAAAAAGGAAAAAGAGGGCTGGCCAGCCGACCTCGTCGCTCAGGTCTTTGCAGTCGTTCTCCTTGTTGCACTGCCGGCTCCCGTGGATGCAGGTCCCGTCATCGCAGCGAAACTCATCTGGGCGGCACGTGGCTCTCACTGCGGAGAAAGACGAGACTCTTCAGAGAGAGAGACAGACAGACGCACAGACAGAGGGAGCCACCAGGGCTGAACACTCACCCGAAGGCCAAATCCCAGGGCGACACACGGCTTCCCTTGATTCACGCTCAGAGTGGGACAGAGAGGCCCAAGGGGATGCTCCTGGAAGGAGCTAGGCCCCCCCACACACACACACAGTGCCAGGAAAAGGGCTACTCGAATGACAAAAGGGTTGGAACACTTTCCTGGTGGAGAAAGGCTGAAGCACTTGGAGCTCTTTAGCTTGGAGAAACGACGGCTGAGGGGTGACATGATCGAGCTTCATAAGATTATGCATGGGATGGAGCAGGTAGGGAAAAGGACTTTTCTCCCTTTCTCGCAGTACAAGAACACCATGTGGGCACTCCATGAAATGGCTGAGCAGTCCACTTAGAACGGATAAAAGGAAGTCCTTCTTCACCCAAAGAGTGATGCACACATGGAATTCACTGCCACAGGAGGTGGTGGCGGCTACAAGCATGGACGGCTTCAAAAGGGAATTAGATAAGCATAAGGAGCAGAGGTCCACCAGTGGCTAGGAGCCACAAGGCCTAGATAGGAACTCTCGGTCTGGGGCAAGGGATGCTCTGTATTCTGGGAGCTTGGGGTCAGGAGCAACAGTGGGAGGGCTCCTGGTGTCCTGGCCCCACTGCTGGACCTCCTGGTGGCACCTGGTATTTTTGGCCACTGTGTGACACAGGAGTGTCGGACTGGAGGGGCCACTGGCCTGATCCAACACTGGCTTCTCTGATGTTCTTATGATTATTATCAGCCTCAAAGAGAAGACGGACTTGAGCCCCACTCTTGCTACACAACCGCCACGCCTCCCCTCCCACTCTCCCCACTCCCCCGAGCGTACCACAGTCTGCCTCGTCTGATTTATCCCGGCAGTCGAAGCCACCGTCGCACTTCCAGCGCTGGTGAATGCACTCTCCGCTCCCACAGCGGAATTCCAGCGGAGAGCAGGGGCTGGGGGTTTTCTGGGCCTCTCCCGGGGCTCCGCAGTGCTCCGGCCACTCGTCCGACCCGTCCTTGCAGTCTTCGTCTTTGTCGCAGGCCCAGAGCTTCGGGATGCAGTCGGAGTTGTTGCACATAAACATTTCCGGGTGGCAGGCGGGGGCGGGGCAGCGGGCTTCGTCACTCCCATCCCCGCAGTCGTCGTCTTGATCACAGACAAAATCCGTGGCGATACAATTCCCGTTCTGGCACCGGAATTCACTGGCCGCACAGCTCTTAGGGGCTGTACCAAAAAAAAAACACCCACGATTACAGCTTCCAGCCAGAGTACACCAGAACATCGTCCAGGGATTTAGTTTTCTGTGGGAAATTTTCCAGTTTTGTCCATTAACCACAAATAAAAATCAAAGTCCCCATAAAGTCCATTTTTTTTAAAAAAAGACCAGCCCCAGTCATACATATACCTCCATAGAACCATAGCGTTGGAAGGGCCCTCCAAGGTCATCCACTCCAACCCCCCTGAGTACATTGCAGGAAATTCACGGTGACCAGGAGCCCAGAGGGAAACCCCCCCCCCGCTCCGTGCCCAGAAAAAAAAGGGGGGGGGGCCTCCAGGATCCCCCGAGGCCAAACTGGCCTGGAGGAAAATTGCTTCCTGATCCCAAAGTGGCCATCAGCATTTCCCTGGACGTGTAAGAAAGGTGTGCACATCCCGAGCTGTGCACATCCCATCAAAACCAAAGATAAAATTCTTATGTGTGTGTCTCGTCTCATAAGGTAGAAGGGAGATTATAATCACTAACCCGCCCTGAATCTAACTAGTCAGGCAAATAAAGAGGCGCCCTCACGACCTTCACGGCTGAGGTGAGTGGACGGGCAGAGGGTCCCGGAGCCGCCCAGGAGGCCCTTTTGCCCCCCCCCCCCCGCGTGCTTTGGCTGGCCTGCCATTCCCGGGTCGGCCGCTCTCCCGGCCTTCCACTTTCTGCTTAAATTTAATCAAGCACACACTATGTTGTCCTAGACATAAGGATTTGACTGGTTTTAAAACGTTAAAACAGTACTTGATTTGCTTTTCCCCCTCGTTACGTATTTCAGTTCAAGTATTTGTCGCTACTGGGACATAAAAAATGAGATGCTTCTAAAAAGTAAGTCAGAATAAACACGCTAAAGCCGATCACACCGCATTGGAGGCAATGGTGACTTTCCAGGGAATTTTCCAATTGTTATTTTTGTGAGAAAACCCCCCCCCCCCACATTCAGCATGCAGCTAAAGGAATCCACAACAAGGTGGGAGGGGGGGAGAAAGAGCCCCAAGGAACCAACGCCAGCCTCCGCAACGGCACGCTCCTCAGCGTCACCTCCCATGGGGATGAGGACCAAAGTGTCCCGCCAAAAGGTGTATGGAAGCTGCAGGACTCTGAGCAAGAAGGCGGCCCCAGGAGACTCTTCACCAGGTGCACCCACGGCTTGGGACACGGGAGCCCCCACCAGTGCACCTGCCACGACCTCAAGGGCCACTAAAACGCATGACTCTTTTTACGGTTCCAGTTTGCACCAGTTTCTTCGGACACACCAGAAAGAACGTGGTGGCGACTTCTTCCCCGAGCCATACATTGTTTACAACCAGGGGGTCCAGATTCCACTAAGCAACACTGAAATGATCAGATCCTGCATGTTCATGGCAAGCAGAGTCATTACACTCACTGACTGGACTAGGACGAGAAGGAAGTTAGATTTTACGGCACTAACTAGCAATATAAAGCTCTGCAATCCTGCTGGTCCTGCACTGGGCAGGGGGTTGGGCTGCTAGATGGTCTGTATGGCCCCTTCCAACTCGAGATTCTATGTGCTTTCCAACAGATTTCTTCAGGCGGAAGACGGAAGACACGCATTCTTGAGTGCCAATCAGACCACTAGTCACATGGGTGGGGAAACGACAAATGTCAATTCCATTACAGCCAATTTAGCGTCACGTATAAGAGTTGGGAAGCATCCCAAATATCATGGGGCTGTGATACCATGAGGCCTCAACTCTGGACTCTGAATGCACACGTGGATGCAGAAGCGGCATTCAGGCGCCTGGTCCCACCGGCATCCCCCTACCCCCGTCAAAAAGACCCCCAACCCTCCACTTAAGAGAGTAGCACAGCCCTTCCAACTTACGACAGTTCTCTTCATCGGATCCATTTTCGCAATCCGCTTGTGAGTCACACCGCCAGGACATATCAATGCAACGATTTATGCGGCCACCACAGCTGAACTGCCCCGGATCACAAGTCACAGACCCTGAGAAGACAAACTGAATGGTAAGCCGTGCCCCAGGCTCGCCACTGCGTAACAGCACCCTTGCGTACGGTGCTATGAGAGAACGCTCTCGCACAGGAGGACACCCGCCGGGCGGTTTTAGCTGCTCCAGCTCCCTCCTCTGTGCAAGTCAATGTGAAGCAGCAACGAAAGGGACTTGGGCGGAGAGGAGAGGCAGCGTGAAGTCCCACCATGGGGGAAAAGCAAAACCGACCCTGGCAGCCAGCCTGAGGCAATGAGCTGCGTGACTCCCAAAAACTCAAATGGAAATAAGTGCTGGTAGCCTTTAAGTTGCCACTTGCCTTGTGGCTTTTTTTAAAATGCAGGTTGCCATGAGCACCCCAGATCTCTTCAGAAAGCGGCCTTTATTTATTTCATTTAAGACCTGGTACCTGGCTTTACTTCCTTAGAGTCAAGAAGACTGCTGCCCGGTCACCCTGAATTCTCGTCAGCTAAGCAGGGTCAACTCTGGCAAGCCCTGGGATGGGAGACCTCCTTGGAAGACCAGCAGTCGGGAGGACAGGGGCAGGCTTCGTTCAGCCAGGGCCCCAGGAGGGGTCCATCACCAGAGGCCACCATGACTTCCAGGTGCACGCATACAGGCACATATGAAGAATACCCCCCCCCCCCCAAAAAAGAGGCTTCCGCCATGTCGAGGACCTAGCACAACGTGCAGTAGTGAGGCAACAGGGTCCACCCAAGACACCACTGGGAACCTGCCGCTCTGCTCCCCAGGCCCTGTGCAGGAAATAGCTGGCCTGTTCTCAGGGTGCCACTGCAACCTGCGATGCAAAACTGTGCCAAACATGCCATCTGCCACACGCGGCAGCCAGACCGCGACGTCTCTGAAGACAGGTGCCCCTTTTATCTTGGGGCAGGGCAGGCCCCGTCTTTCTAGCAGGCCTCCCCTTGTGCCTGGATGCACGCGGGAGGCAGAGAACTGGCACTGGGAGAGGTCCACATCGCTCCTCAGGTCTCCCTCACTGACCTAATCGATGCCCCTTTTCCTGACAATGCTCACGTCTCCTCCGGGCACCTGATCAGAAGGCTCCTGACATTCCTGCCGGAGAGAAACAGCCCGCTTTCCCCCACCAGATGGCGCACTGAGTGCGCGCCGATGTCACCCGTTCCGCCACAGGCAATGGGCACGGGGAAAGGACGGTCCCCTCCCGAGCGGCTTCATCCAACCAACTTACTGCAGGCTTCCTGGGACTCGTCTGAGCCGTCCTTGCACTCCGCCTTGCCGTCACAGGTCCACTTGTAAGGGATGCACTCGCCAGTCCCGCACGGGAACTCCTTCCGCTCACACTGCTCCACACCTGCGAGGCAGCAAGCCCACACCTTTAGCCCCCGCCTGAGCACTCCCCTCACGCCAGAAGTGGACCTGATTTAAATCACCAGTCGGGAAGACTCAGTTCCTCTCTTACGTTCTTAATTTTATGGTAGTTAAATTAGAATGATGAAAGGGTTGGAACACTTTCCCTATGCAGAAAGGCTAAAGCGCTCGGGGCTCTTTATTCTTGGAGAAACGACAGCTGTGGGGGTGACATGATCGAGGTTTATCAGATTACGCGAGGGATGGAGCAAGTAGGGAGAGGTACTTTTCTCCCTTTCTCACAGTACAAGAACTCGTGGGCACTCCATGAAACTGCTGAGCGGTCAGGTTAGAACGGACAAAAGGAAGTCCTTCTTCACCCAAAGAGGTCCATCAGTGGCTATTAGCCCCAAGGGATAGATAGGGACTCTGGGGCAAGCGGTGCTCTGTCTTCTTGGTGCTGGGGGGGGGGGCAACAGTGGGAGGGCTTCTAGTGTCCTGGCCCCACTGCTGGACCTCCTGATGGCCCCTGGTATTGGACTGGATCGGCCATTGGCCTGATCCAACATTGACTTCTCTTATGTTCTTCATTTAACAGTAGTTTTCTATGCAGAAGCGATCTTTTGCCAATACGTGCATTGTTCACAACAGATATAAATACTAGTCCAATTTTTAGAAGGCATGACACAGTATAGATTTTTAAGCCATAACTTTTTTAAAAAGAGAGAATCTCAGATCAATTTTACAGCTATGTCAGAATATGATTTTTGGGGGGTATGGCATCAAACCTGCAAAAATACGCTGCCCAAACAGCTTTAATGTTAATTCCTTCTCTTAATTATCACCAGACAAATCCACGGTTTGAGAACTCTTTGAGAGCGCCTCTAACTCAGCCCTGTTGGGTAGCTGGCAAAAGGCTGACCCTAAAGCCACCGACACAGAAGCCCCTGGGGGAGGGAGCCCACCGCTTCTGACCCTCCTTTCTAAAACTCTTTAGAGGACTACACAGTTCCACGCTAGAGCACTGCAGTGGATAACCCTTCCCCCATAAGACACCCCTGATCTGCAACCTACATTCACCAAAGCTCTCTCCTAAAAGGCCCGTCCAGCTGAAGTCCTGCTGCTGCCCATGTCTCTGCCTGCCTTCCTTCCCCAAGGGCAAGTGTGGGAAGGAAGGAGAGTGTCCAGGGCTCTCTGTGGGCACCTCCTGTTCTCCCCCCCCCCCCCCCCCCCCCCCCCGCACAGACCACCGCTGGCTGGCTGGCTGGCTGGCGGACCCACGGGAGGAGCAGCCCCGGCAGCAGCAGCGCGCGTCACCCTGTTTGCACAAGGCTCCTCTCCTCCTCCCCAACCCCCCCCCCCCCCCGCACAGACCACCGCTGGCTGGCTGGCTGGCTGGCGGACCCACGGGAGGAGCAGCCCCGGCAGCAGCAGCGCGCGTCACCCTGTTTGCACAAGGCTCCTCTCCTCCTCCCCA